CGCGCACTAGCTGCAGCAATTTGGAATAATTAATTACAAAAGAAGCAAATGCACATATTTCAAGTGAAGAAGGGGAGTGAAGTCTGCTAATTTAAGTGACCTCTGCGAAAGAAGACGACAGGCTGGAGAAACAGGAATATTTTACGATGAAGATACACCAAAGGTGGGGTATGTTGACAATGGGGCTGAATGGGGGGGGAACAACCTTTTTTACTTTCCTTCTATGTGATTTACAAGAACCCCTCCTCATTAGAACCGTCGGTTGAACTGACCCAATCAGGATGACTAAGGTCTGTGTGGAGATAAACTTTAACCAAAAGTATGCTTTATGGAGACCGAGAAGCAATAAGAGCTTTTGGGAATGGCGCAGCAATTAATTCGGAGTCGCCATCTTGCCAAAGGATTTATAGCCGGGAGGAAGAACGGATTTGTTTTCAGACTGCATTCCTAGTGAATCTCCTCAGAGGTTTTGAGAAAGGAGGCAGATTGGTGAAGATTAATGATGCTAAGACTGTTTTGATGTATGGAAGTGATGTTATATGGAAAACGTCTGGATATGGCTACTGGATAAAAATAATAATATCCACGCAGGATTACAAACTGTTCTAACCAGCTTGCGGAGACTATCAGAGGTCACAAAGAGAAAGGAAAAATATATGAAAATAACAACAAGAGATGTGGAAAAATAATAAGAAAGGACTGGATAGTACTGTGAACATCATAAGGTTAGATTTGTGGACATTAAAACAGCAGTAAGAAGCAAGAAGTTGATTGGATCCCTTTGGAACTTGAAATATGGGTACCCCCAACAAAAATTTAAAATTCGGCTGTGTAATTTGGAATTTATGTAATTTGGGGTTTGATTTGATGTGATTGGTCGGTTAATAAAAAATTATTCTTAAAAAAAAAAGAATGAATGAATTTGAATAAAATGTCTTGTCCCAAACTCTGCTCCTGCATGGCTGCCCGTGTCCCTCAGTTATACTCTTTAGTAAAGGAGTTTGTAGGTAAACCTCCAAAATATTCGCTGAAACAAGCTCTCCAGAAACCAAATCTTTCCCACATCCTTCCCTGCAGTTCCTCTTTAAGAGGTGTCAGCATGGCTGAAAGAATGAAGTGGCTCGGCATTGTTTGCCTGAACTATTATGTGCTTAACATTTCCATGACAAAAGTGCCACTCGACTTCTCTCCGATTAATGCAGCTTGAGGGCTCTTGTCCTCCTTTAATAAAACATTGTTGAAATCATTTATTTAGAGTCCCTGGTTACTAGTGGGAGAATGACCATCTTTGTGCCAAAATATAGTGTATACAGTTCACTATTTTGTAGTAGATCATTCCATTATTTGAGAAATTGATTAAATGGATGCCTTACAAAGTATTTATGCTAATAGCGCATTACTTGTGTCATTCAGACAATCAGTGTGAGGCTTTTCAACTGTCTACCACAACCAATACCTCAAATAAAATACAGTAGGCTTGTATTCGCACATGCTCTCCTCGGGTTGGACTGCTTCTTACCCTGTGTTAACCTCCATGTTAACTATTTCAGTCCTGCAGCATTTGTAAGCAAATGGAGGGAGCCTCTCCTCTCCACACCCCGTGGTCTGTTATTTTGGGCAATACATATGGGAACATTCTGTACTGCTATGGACTGTGGTATCTGTCAGGAATGATCAAACCAGTTAGGTCTGTGCTTCACAAAACATTTCCCCAGACTGCTCAAAAGCCTTGCTGGATCATGAAATCAAAACCAAGTCTTACTTAATAAAGAACATTCATCGGCAAAGTCCAGCTTCTACTGTACAAAGGGGACTTCTTGTAGCAGTTGCGTATGAGTCAACCAATGAACATGCCCATGGTTTGATAAGGCCACCTATATTTCCCATTTGAAAACTAGGTGCCCAGGCAGGAATACATTCATTTGTATTTTGCATGAAATATGGATACCATTGTTGGGTCCGGAAAACACAAGTACTAGGATCACGGCATTTATTTGCTTTTTATTTTTTAAAGAATGCAGTGCTTGATTCTCAGGAAACATAAATTCTTCTGTGCTGCTATTACTTAGGTACAGCAAGCTTCTTGTTAATGTGCAGTTCCTTTGAACCATAGAGCATTTCTTGGGAGATACTGTGTGTGATTTTGAAAGCAATAATCTTCATCTCGTGACTTGGAAAAGAGACTGGCTGGAATCAGTGGTTTTGCTTAAGTGCTGTTGCTTTTCAGTCTACTTGATTTGGTATTTGCAATTACTTTCCAGGTGATGTATACTTGCCTGCGTACACTGGTTTATATTGTTAAAAATAAACAGAGACCTTATGTTATGCCTATTGTGATTGTGTACAAAAGCCCCACAGTGCTCTTGGGTGATCAGTGAAGCTTGAATCTCCTTCTATTTACTGTATGGTCACTGTCAGTTCAATGAACTGCCTTCTTGTTCTCCACCATTGTCCCACACTCCCTTAAACATTTGTCACTGAAGTGCCTCCAAAGACAAATAAACTGTCACTGAGAATTCAAACCTGGTAACTGGGAAGAAAGGGGGCACAAGGAGACCCAGTGGATTATTTTACATGAAATTGAAGGGGGGGTGGAGAGAGAGCGAGAGAGCAAGAGAGGGAACCTTTCCTTCCCCAACTCATTTTGTCAGAGGTGGGCCGAGGGTTGTAAATATTTTGAAAATCTTGGAAACGTCAAAGGTTTCAGTGTCCTTTCTTGGAAAGCACATTGTCCTCCTGGCAAGTCTCACCTGCTTTGCAGAATGCAAAGTCAACTATGGGACCGGAAGGCTTGTGAGAATGGAAGCCAATGTGTCATCTCAGAAATGCCTGAGAAGCAGAAAGGGTGTGTGTGTGTGTGTGTGTGTGTGTGCGTCTGTGTCCTTTTTGGTATGAACAGTTATTTCTTTAGCGGGGAAAGAGAATCCTCTATAATGATGCTTACAAGTTTGTTTTTAAAACTCTTTTTAATTGCTATTAAGGAAATGTAAGTTGTGGCAGATGCCAGTGTCTAATAGAGGCATTGCAGTGTTGAAATATGAATATCCCTTCAGGATACAGGCCCATGAATATCTTGAATATCCCTTCAGGATACAGGACCGTGAATTCCTCAATAACCTTGATCCATTTTTGTTTGTCAGTTATGGATGCAGCAGAGAAAGTGCAGTTGTGTGCCAATAGCCAACTTCTACATCCAAATGCTCCAGGAAATATACTAGAGACATGACACAAACACAAAAAGCATTGCATTCCCAACCCAACGCCAAGCTCAGGGTCAATTACTTCAGGCAGCTGCTTTTGACAGGAGCTTCGCTTCTCAAATCAAAGTCTTCTTGTGTCTATTGGAGCAGTTATTTATCAGTCCTTTCCTGTGTTTCTGTATTACTTACTCATTCCTGGATCAGGAATGGACCCTAAACATATTTCCCCACTATCAGGGATGAGTTGGCATTGAATCAGATCCATAAGAGGGGATAAAACACAATTAAAATATGCTTGACCACAATCCAGGAAGAACACCAGATTGCATCCTTAGAGGCCTGCAAACTCAGTAGTTAAGGCATCCAATTCATTTCACTGTTCTTTGTTCTTCACATAAAAGTAACCATTTCAGTTGTAACAATAGGTTTATTCTACCATTCAAGTTAACCTCAGCAACAAATTTAGATCATACTTGCAGAATTGTTATATGATATCTCAGCTTCCTTGGTGGTGGCTGTTTTTGAAGGGGGAAAACTCGTAAGGTTTTGCGAACTGATGGGAAAATTGAAGAAGTGATCTAGCGAAAATGGTGAAAGGCATGGTGGGAAGAACAGATCTTATATAAGGAAATTGACTGTTTTGCTAATTGCCTCTAAACAAGTAGCAAGCCTGGTTTTCACCTTTGCTCGGGGTTTTAAAAAGCCAAGCGAGTTAACTAAGAAAAAACGACAGTCCTTGCTGATCTTCTCCCCCACCCCCAGTCAAGGTTTATTTGTTGTGGCTTTTAATCTTCTGACTTGTCTTCCAATCACAGCGTTGAAAAAGAAAAGTTTTAAACAAACAGAAAGGATACAAGATAAATAAACGCTTCTCTTTTTTTTAAAGCAAGTGCCTAGCTTGGCACAGTTCAAGCGCAATCCCCTGGAGGGAGGACCGAGTGCTCTCTTTTGTGTTAATGTTTAAAAGATTTCCAAATGCCGGAGTTTATTCCAACTGCAAACATTTCTATTTACAAGGTCAATTGTATCAGCACTCGAGACAGCTTAAGAGCGTAATTATTTATCTAAGGGCGTTTGAGTGTAGATCAGTAGCTCTGGCAGAAAACCAGCCATCAGCAGGCTGCAAAACAACTGCGCAGGCCAGTATCAGACAAGGGCTTGTCATTGTTGGTCACACATGCTTGTTTATGTCTGCCCTCTTCAGCACGGAAGGTGAGCTGGTATGCAAAGTGCCCTCAATTCTGCATCAAATGCAAGCATTTGAAGGATATGCCCCCTTAATGTGTTACTAGACTAGCGCTCGTGGAATGTGACCTCCTTCAGTAATGAAGGACTGCAAGCAAGAGACTCGTGTACTAGCACAGAGCTTTCTATGAAACTGGCCTTCACTCCTTCAAAGAGGAAGCTGTGGCAACAGCATCATATTTCTGTGGAAAGACAAAAAGCATCACTGGAATTGTCCTCCCCAGCTTTAACTCTACTTCATTGTCCTACCAATGCAGCTTAAGACTTATAAATCTACCACTGGGAATGTTTTCAAAGGGGCACCGACTTCTTCCAAGTAATTATTCACTAAAATAGGGTATGCCATTACCAACAGCTACATAGTGATAGCTAGGATAACCTCCAGTTGCTCATATGCAAGAGCGTCTCACAGAATTCCATGGGTTTACTTCACTGTAAGGGTTTTGAGGAATGCAACCATACATTGACTACTTGCATGTGTGTTCCGATTGCCTCTAAACTATCTCAAGAGCAGTGCAGTATCTAGAAAACAACTTCACCAGATATATATTCTTTAAAAATCTCTCTTTACTAATTTACACATAAAAATACACAAGCAATAGATACTTAAGACATGGGACCTTTTCACACATTCTATAAAAATACAATGTTCAAGGCAGCTCAGAGAGGCATTTATACAATTCTACAAAGTTCATCAAGTCTCTCCAAACAATACAGATGTTAACTTCAAATCTATAAAATACACTGTACATTTGATCTAGCATTTTTCCATGGGAATTACTGTTGCTTGTATCCCTTTACATATCAAATGTACCTTTGCAACAAAAGAATAGCAGATGCATTTATCTTGCAATTGGGGTGCATTTAAATCTTTAATTTCTTAAAAAATAAATTATTCCCAAGTATACAATTTATAAATTTCTATATACATGCAAAAACGACTGGTAACAAATCCCAGTTTTAAATACATTTTATATAAGATTTACCAGAGGTCAGCCCCCTGATAGGATTAGAGGCAATATAACTTTTCGTGATGTTTGCAGATACAAGTTCTTGAATTTTAAAAGTGTCTTTTGAAGATGGCAGTGCAGAGCTCTTTTAAGACAATGGTTGCATTGTTCGATGTAGCCAACAAATTAGCATTATTTTTCCTACTAGGTTGAGGCAAGAGAAAATTGCTGATGAATTGTATTGCATTGCAATTCTGAGTGGTGCAAGGGCCACTTTGAACATTATGGGCTAGGGGAATCCTTGTAGGAGAAAGCATGAAAACAATGTGTGAAGTTCACACACACACCTATTTTACTGGAAAACCACAACTTTAGCTTCCCATCATACATGCACCATGGAAAAAAAGCATGTGCAATCCTCACACATGACAAAAATACATGGGGTTTCCATACCTTAACACAGAATAAAGTCCCTACCACTAATGTTCAAAACAACCCTGAGAAAAGGTGTTGGAAAACCCTCACATATACTCAAGTCTCCTCCACTCAAGCACACACCCAGTTAACAGGAATCGAAGTTTGCATCTTCTTTTAGGCATCATGATGAATGCTGTGAATGGGAGGAGAGAAAGGACTCCATTTCAAGATGCTGGCTAGCTCTGTAAAGCAGCATTTCTGAAGGCGTTCTAGGGAAGAAGCCTAACTCTTTCTTACCTTCCTGTCTACAGCTTGGGGGGGGGGCAGGGGGCGGAGAGCAAACATTTGCTATTTGCAAGTTGGTTTCGTGGTGCGATGACCCATGCTACACATTTATTGTGAATTCATTTTCTTGCTTCTAAGGAGCCAAGTAGCAACAACTTGCATAGTGCAGTGAGGGGTGAATCACGCCTTTCCCCTGACATGGCTGTATGCAGGGGCAAAGTAACAAACCATTATACACACTGCTGCTTACTTTCCTGCATGTACAGGGGAAAGATTAGGAAGCTGCAACTGGTAGTGATTTGTACACAGGGAAGAAAGGACTGCACAATCTTTGTATATGACAGGCATATCCAGGTTGCTTCATACAGCCCCGCAGGGGGGGGGGGGGAAATGCCACGAGTAAAACATCTCTAAGGCTGCGGTCCTAAGCACGCTTATTTGGACATGCACGGAATGCTTGGAACCAAAAGCAACAAATACCACAATTCTGGGGTCTGATGTACAAACAGTGGCTAAACGTTTGCCAAAAAAGGATTCGGATTCAATGGCCCTATCCCTTTCAAATATAATTTTAGAAGTGGGAGGGGGAGAATGCCCAGATATAGAGAAATGAGGACAGGAGGAAGGAGTGACCACAGCGCAAAGAAACCATCACATCCAGCCCAGCATCTGTTCGAACTGAACTAGTCAGGCAAGGCAACAGGGCCCGGTGAGGACACGGCGGGGGTCCCCATCAAAAGCAAAGGCATACTGGAGGTGCAGAATAAGGCACACTGCTTGAATACAAAGCTCGGGGGGGAGAGAAGAGAGGTCCATCTGCCTGGGGCGAGTTCAGAGTCCCCGGTCTCTGCAGGGCCGCTGCTGGGGGCGAGGCTCTCCTTTCTCCGTGCCCAAGCCCCGTCCTCCTCCCGGAGCCAGGAGAGGAGCCAGGGCCCTGGGGCGAGCGCAGGCTCCTTCCCTCCCTCCACCCGGCCCGGCCCGGCCTCCTCGAGCGCCCCTCCCGAGCGCCGGGCTGGAAATGGCTACGAGAGCAGCAGCAGCAGCAGCAGCAAAATGGAGGCCGCGGCGCCCAGCGTCCAGGGAGCCGCGCGCGGCGGGCAGCCGTCCTTGGGCTTCCTGGGCGAGGCGGCTTCGGAGCCGGCTCCGGCCACGGCCGCCACGTCGTCCAGGTCGTCCCTTCCGCGCGGGGCCAGCTCCTCGTCGTACTCCTCTTCCCAGTAGTCGTCCATGGCGCCGTCGGAGGCGCCGCTGCTGCCGGGCCCCAGGGCGTCGGCGCCGAAGCAGAGGCGCGCCATGTTCTCCTTGACGGACTCGCAGATGGGCCGCTCGAGGCCGTCGCACACGCAGTCGTTGAGCAGCAGCGCCTTGGGCACGGCCAGCATGTCCTCGATGACGGCGCGGCAGTCCTCGGTGCAGCGCACGCCGTTGAAGACCTTCCCGCAGTAGGTCATGTAGCGGCCCAGCGCCGCGCTGCAGCGGCTGTCCCAGTCGCAGCGCCGACGCGCCTCCGTGCAGCCGATCACGCCGCCCGCCCCGACGCCGCCGCCTGCTCCACCTCCTCCTCCTCCTCCACCTCCGCTGGTCCGAGGCAGGCAGGGCTCGATGGCGCGCTTGGTGGCGCGGCAGTTCTCGTCCTGGTCGCAATCGCAGTCCTCCAGCGCCGGGCCCCGCCTGGTGTGGTTGAGCTGGATCAGCGCCGAGATGCAGTGGCTCGGGCACCGCCGCCTGCTGGACGGCGACGCAGCCGCCGCCGCCGCTGCAGCAGCGCCCGCGCCGTCCCCCGCGGCCATCAGCACCGGCGCGCACGCCTCGGCGTACTGGTTGTACGCGTAGCTGCAGTCGGGCTCCTCCTGGCACTGAAGCATCGCCTGCCAGCAGATCAAGCGCCGGCCGTCAGCCCCCGGCGGAGGGGCAGCGGCGACCAGCAGCAGCAGCAGCAGCCCCAGCCGCAGCGCCGCGGCGCCGGGCAGCGGGAGCAGCGCCGCCCGCCAGCGCCGCCCGCCTGCTGCTGCTGCTGCTGCTCCTCCTCCTGGCCGGGCTGCCACCATCGCGGCCGGCGGCCGGACAATCGCGGGCGGGAGGCGGACGACGAGGGCGAGCGGGAGGCGCTGGGGGTGGGGTCGCAGCCGCCGGTGGGAAAGTTGGCCGAAGTCCTGCGCGCTGTGGGCATGAGGGTCCCGCTCATCAATCCATCCGCGCGGCGCCCCGGCTCGGCCTGCGATCCCTCCGTCGGCGGGGAAGCGGCGCCTTTTCTTGCCGCCGCGCGCAGCAGCCTCCGCCCCCTCCTCCCGGGCTGGGGAGGCCGCGAGGCGGTCAGTGGAGCCGGGGGCTGCGGGGCCGGGGGCTCCCTGCTGAGCTCATGCCGCCGCCGCTGCCGCCTCGCTCCCGCCGATCTTCTTTCTTCGCTCTCAGCGCTCGGCGGGCAGCATCGCCGTGCATGCCAGGTCGCTGGGGCAGCCGCCGTCGCCGGGCGCCCGGTGCGCGCCGCGAGCCTCCTTCCTCGCCCGGCGAGCGGGAGGCTGCACAAGAAAGAGCCGCCCGGCGCGCTCTCTCGCCCTCGCGCTTCCTCACTCCGGGATGCGGCTGCTGCTGCCGCCGCCGCCGAGCCCCGCGAGGAGCCGTTTCTCTCCGGCGGATCCTTCTGCGGAGCTGTTTTCTTTCGCGAGGCTTTAAATACAAAAGTGCCCTCCAAGCTGCCGCCGCCGCCGCAGCAGCAGCAGCGTGCTCTGATCAGCCCTCATTATGCATGCATGGAAAAGCAAACAAACAAAAAAAAATTAGCAACGCTTCTTCTCCTTTTACACATCCCCCCTCCGCCCGAGCTCCCTGGCTGGCTCGCTCTTTCTCCTTTTCTCCACTTTTTCTTTCCCCCTCCCGTTGCTCGGCCCCTTTTCCTCGCTTCGCGACTTGCTATTGGTCCGGGCTGTTGTTGAAACTCCCCCCCTCCTTTCTTTTACGATCTGCTGGAGAAAGGGGGAGGGTGCGGGGCGGGGGGCTAGTGGGCAGCTCACATTCAAAGCTTGAAAGGAAAGGCTTAAAGAGATTGACAGCAGCCCCCGAGGAGCCCCTCCTCCCATTTAGGAGGCTTCTCCAGGCAGCTTAACTTGCAGCGCTCTCAAAGCAGAAAGCAGAAACTTTGCAGTTCTTTGCAGCGGGCAGAAAGGGCTGCTGCTCGATTGACGGTTTTGTTTTGTTCCGCTGGCGGGTTTTTTAGGCAGAACGTGGCTCTGAAAAGTTTCTCCGTGTGGTGGAACCTTGAACCGAACTGAAGGGTTAAAAGGTTCTTCATCATAAATAGGTACACACTTGTTTATTTATACTGGAGAGCTTCCGAAAAGGTGGATCAGTGGCTTCCCTGTGAGTTGCTTGGTTGGGAACTTGGAGACAGAAGTGAGTCCTCAAAGGATCAGGGATCTCACACACGCTCTTAAATCCTCTCGACAGGGAGGGAACCTTTCCCTCAAACTTTCACTTAAGACAAGATCCTGGAATTCCAGGACCAGAGCATCTGTGGGAGAACCCTTGCCTTCTGCTCCAACTCATTGAAAACACAAATTTGCATTAAAGTTAAGCTTTTGCATATGAATTCCATGGGATGAAGCACATGGATTTAGAGGCAGGGACAGAAGAAGGGATTCCACATGTAGATTAATTTGAAACATGTTAAACATTTGTAACCAGGATAACTGTAAAGTTTTGAAAGTGTCTTTCTTAGGGTGAAAAACAGTAACAATTCCTTGAAATCTGTGACAATGCTGAGAAGGAAATAAACCCAGCCACTCATGTCTCTTGCTTGGTATTCGTTGCCACCTAGAAAAATCAAAGGAAAAAAATTAACCTAAGGGATTAAAAACTTTGGCATCAAGAGTGTCCTGCACATAGCCATAGTTATTTTGTCTTTAGTTTAGTGCTACCTTAATTTCAGAGTTTCACAGTCATTTGACCACCAGGGGCATCAGTGTCTACGGCCTGTCAAATGCGGACAATTCTTTCTCTAGGAGACTGTGGCTCCATCTGTCATAAAAATCAAGACTAAAGCTATTTTCCAGAACCAAAAGGAGCTTGGATTTGTGAGATAAATGTTGTCTTAAAATCTCACATTATTATGGAAGTGCCCAACAATTAGGAGTCAATCTGACAATCTTTTTCGAAGCATTTCCCAGCAAGCATGCAGTTCTGCATCTGTTTTTACACTCAGGAGATGATTCACAGTTTAGAAACTTAAGACTCTGGTCTCTTTCACATGAATTCCCTCTTGTGTAGGAAATAGTGTGAAACCTACACAACCATCTCCCTTGTTTATATGCTGCAGCACATAATTACATTGCACATATGAGTATAGTTGTGCCATCCTTACACACGATGATGGATGTGTGGTGTTCCTTTACATTTATATCTTGCTCTTCCTCCAATGACTTCAGAAGGCACACATGGTTCTGCCCCTCCCCATTTTATCACCACAACAACCCTGTGAGGTAGGTTAGGATGAAAGATAGTGACTGGTCCAAGGCCACCCAGCCATCTCTCTGGCTAGTGGGGGTGGCCAGGCATTGAACCAGCTTCTTTGTGTCCCAAGTCCAGCATTCTTAACTTGCCATTCCACACTTGCTTTGGATTCCCATCGTTATTCCTCAGACTCAAGGTGAGTTTTGTGGTTTGGTGGGGCTTTTAAATCAGGTCTCCTCAGTTCCAACCCAACACACCAACCACAACATCAGTGGTCCCCAGACTTTTCACTTCCATGGACCTCTTGAAAATTGCTAATGTTCTTGCTGGACCGCTTAATGATTTTTCTGCCTGATGTAGCAAATGCACTGTGCTAGATGCTGTTTGATCTCTCTGCTGTGCCAGTCATTTAGATTTGAAAAGGACTTGGATCTTTGCAATTGTCCTTCACAGGATGGAAGCTAGGAGATGATCTGTGCATGCATGTTAATCACTTGATGGCAGCAATGTCAAGTAGTGTATGAATGGATGGGCCTGGCTTTGGGCAAAAGTGCCTTCCCTGCACCATTTCTGGGCAGAAAAGCTGATAATACTCCAGACAGCTGGAAATTCTCTAACAGATTAAACTGTTTCTGGCACAATAGACACCGTGGCGGGTGCCAGAGCACACGGAAATGCCATTTACCTTCCCACCGCAGTGGTACCTATTTATCTACTTGTGCTGGTGTGCTTTCGAACTGCTAGGTTGGCAGGAGCTGTGAGCTCACCCCATCACAGCAATTCAAACTGCTGACCTTCAGCAAGCCCAAAAGGCTCAGTGGTTTAGACCACAGCGTCACCCGCGTCCCAACTGACTAATGAAGGCCAGCATCTAGGGACCCAGTGCAGCCTCTGAGATTTATATATCTCATACCTCTGTAGAGTGTGAGACACCAGCAGGTGAGTGGCTATCTTCAAAACACATTTCTACTCTGATTGGTTGTCCTCTTTCAGAGGTAGGTGTCTGTGTATGTGGATATGCTGCCATCACTGTTGAGAAAGGAAGGTTTATTTTCTCCTTGAATATGAAAATACAAATTCCAGAGAGCAGCATATAAATGCTTACACAAACGGTCTTTAAAGCTCTTCCCAGTCTGTGGGTCTTTTGTCTTCCTAATATATCATATTTGCTTGCTTGGCTGCCTCCTTAAAAATGGGATTGTTATTTATATGAAATGTAAGTATTACGGAGGGTATTTACCCCATGTATGGTAAACATAGAGATATTGCTCAATTCTTTACTGGATCACTGCTTTATAAACCCTTTCCCAATATAAACTGCAAACTGGACCACACATGTTGCTAAAACAAAGCTACAAACAGAAGAGGAGTCAAATACCCCTTTATTTTTGACTTTACTAACTGTAAGGGTAATTGTTAAGCCAGGGGAGGCAAACCTGTGGCCTTCTGGAAGATATGGGACTCCAGCACCCCTCAGCCTCAAGGATGATAGGGTTTCTAGTTCAGCAACATTTGAAGGGTCACAGGTTCCCCAACCCTATGTTAAACAAATACATGGATATCTGTTAATCCATCTACATGGGAGATTTTGCATAACCAAAGAGAAGTGTTAGCCACACACACATTGTTTATATGTACCAGACATTGTAGATAGCATTATTATGGGAGTTATGTCTTTGTGTTTGCAGGCAGCTTTGTATATGCAGACAGCTGTTGGATTGTTTTATGCTGTTCTCTAGATTGAGCTTCCTTTTGTGGCTACCAGAGCCACATTGAAAATCTAGAAGTGCTAAAATAAAAAATAAAAATCTAGAGGTGCTGAACTTCCCAGGATGCTGCAGGTAAGTTAACCCAGGCTGGACTCATCTTTAAGTGGGTTTCATGGCTGCCACCAAAACCAAGCACCACACTTCCTTCCTTCCTTCTTGATGTGCTATCATTGTCCTGTTGACTCGTTGAATTTCCTTGTCACCCACTCTGCCCTTGGCTCCTGCTTGTGGGTGGGGAAATTCAAAGCATGGGGATTTAGAATAACCAACTGTTGGACATGAGGGCGAGAAAATCTAATAGGCACCACCCTATCCCAACTAGATGGCAAGCGTGAGAGAAAGCAGTTGGAGATGTGGTTGTTGTCCCCCTGCTGTGGTGCTCTTGAAAAGTTCTTATGTGATGGTTTGTCTTTTTAGAAGGATTAGTTGATTTTTATCTTTGTTTTCAGCTACTGTGAGTGTCTTCCCTCATGGAAAGACTGGACAGAAGTATTATAAGAAATGTTGGGTTGGGTCAAGACTTGAGTTAGATCATCACTTGCTAATCGCAAACCATATACAGGGCAGTAGGGCTGGGTGTGGCTTGAAGACTGAAGAGGGGAGGAGATAAACCCCACCTGCTCCTCCCATGTCCTGGCACACAGCCATGGCGGAGACCCAAAAGTGGCTTTTTGCTCTTCCTATGGTTCCACTTCAAGCATGCTCCCATCCGAGCCTCTTTTGAGGCCAGGCGGTGAAGTGATAAAATAGCGAACATTTGGCTCCTGAAACAAATAATTCTGTGTCTGTGCCACAAGATTAGGATGGTCATGTCCTCTACAGAAGACTGTCCTCTATTTACAGGGCTATCAAAGGGCAGTCCTGTGTTTGAAGGTGGCCTTTATTTGAAGGGCTGTCTGGTCCAAGTCTGGTTGAAAGATAAAAATCCATAAGAAAGGAAAACAGGCCTTGAAGTTGCCCATCATCTGCACCAGGGCAGCAGACCAAGTGGGCATGTAGCTCTCCTGATCACTGTCTTCCCCACTATGGTGATGTGTATATATTTGCATTTAAACAGATACATTAGCATATATACATGTTATACAGATTGGTGACCCCCCCCTTTTGGCAATTCAAAAGTGGCCATCCTAAGCATGATGTTTTAAATATGTAAAACAAACATAACTACAATGTTTTTATGCTTGCAGAACCTTTGACTGCTTCATAACTCTGTTTTAAAAGGATTTCTGCTTTAGATTTATTTTTTTAAAAAATACTATAGTAGAGAGAGTACTATTAAACTGCCCCACTGCAAAAGAGACACCTAGATTCTGTTTAGGTTCTCAAAGAGCAAAGTCCAGGGCCTTGACTTGTACACAGTAATATATAAGTTTAAGGGAAACTGTCATAAAGAGATTTAGACAGCCCACAGCAAATTACTGTCTAGATAACACTTAATCTGTTTATAGATGGCCATGTAAATGACCACATTTTTTGTGGTATTATTGGATAGGTTTTCTGAGCAGCACCTTTTGTAACATTTGCATCAGGGTGCTCCCTTACCTGTGTAGACAATGAGCAGAGAAATGTTCCCTGGTTTGGCTGAGGTTTGATAATTGCTTGCTATTAAAA